TACTTTTTCATATCCAAATTCTCTTTGGTTGATTACCTGTCTGGATGGAATGATACGCCAGAGTCCAGAAGTTGTTACTTGGTGGCCGTGTCCTTCCCTAATGATATAATTTAGATGCTTATTGTACCAGCTTCATTTACGTTCAGCAAAATATGCCTTATGCTGGTTCACGTGTCCTGTAGACAGGTTAGCATATCTGATCCAGAAATGAAGACCTTAAAGTTTCTGGTTGCTATCATTGACAAGTACAGAAAATGCAATGACAGCAAATTGAAGGACATCTACTGCAGGCTCCTTACTGAAGTTTTAACCATCACCTCTAACATGAAGCATTTGTACTCCTGTGATGAAATAGAGGGAGTCATCCTAGAACTTAGAAACCTCTTTATCCCCAAACCAGCTTTATCAGCAGAAGACAGTCTACTGTTTCAATGCAAACCTAATCTAGCAAACTTTATGGCTGGTCTGGGTCATGTTGAGTTGGCAGAGAGTGATGATAATGCAAGGACTTCAGCCGTTTGGGAATTGTATCACATGTTATTGAGAGAGCAGCACTGGGCCTTCATTCACCTAGCATTGACAGCATTTGGATATTTCGCTGCTCGTACACCTTGCGTCCAACTGTGGAGATTTGTTCCACAAGATGCGGCTCTTTCATTTGATTTGGAGTCAGGAAATGAAGCAGATGAGGACAGATTCATGGCCGAGTTGAAAGGATTTCTAGACAAGGAATCGGCTTCCATTTTAACGAAGCCTACCCCTGATCACACTGGGATGCTTCTGAAAGAAGGCTTGAAGCTCAAGGAAATGCTTAACAAAAACTTGGCCATCAATGAGGAAGCTGCAATTGGTGATGATGCCATGGAGGTTGATGAACACAACCATGGTAATAAGAAAAGGAAATTCCCCGATGAGATAGGCAAAGGAGTTGAATTATTGCAGAGTGGTTTGAAAGTCATGGGTGATGGACTTTCGCATTGGCAGCATAATCAGACCGGATTGAATGAAATTCATGACAAAATTTTGACACATTTTTCTCGTCTTGAAGATGTTGTCTCTCACTTAGTTAGACTAACTGGTGATGCCTGAGAGATCGTAAAACTCCACTGATGTTTTAGCTCTTACTCAGAAGCAAAAGGAGTGAATCATATGTTTTCCTCTGCAGAGAAGCATCGAGCCCCAATAAGTTAAAGAGAGTTCCATTCTTTTGACTGAATAGCTAGACATGTACCTTACTTTTCCCTTACTAGTGAGGTAAAAGAAATACGTCCTGCATATGTGGAGGACTCAATGCTAGTTAAAAAAATTTTTTTTTTTCATCGACATCATTGAGACGGCTGCCTTGCTCACCCATTCGCCTCGAGGTTTCATAACAATACCTCTAGGAGAAGAAACTAATTTAGTCCCTCGAGGTTTCATAACAAATACTTCAAGAGGAAAAAAAAAAAACTAATTTAGTCCCTTGTATTTTTAATTTCGATCACTTTGGTCTAATAAGTTATGCAAGAAAGGTTTCCCCACAGCACATAATAAAATGCGTTGCATTCTTATGTAATGGTGGAAACTATAATATTCATTTTTTTTTGTTGTGTAGGGAACTTGTATTCATGCTCAGTGCAAAGCATTAACAATCACAAGTTGGGAAATTTTGCACAATCCATTATACAAAAGCTCATTTTGCACTGTCACCGTTTGATTCATAATATGTGTGTAAAAATTGAATTTCAAATTCAAATTTTGCATAATTGTCATTTATCCAAAGCTGACCGTGTATACACCGTCAGTGTAGGAAAAATTAATTCTAAAATTCACCTAACCTATCATGTATATATAGATACTAACAATTATTACCTTTTTTTATATTTATATGCTTTTCCTATTTAATCTTATATACCTACTCTCCCTTATATTTATTCACTTTTCCTAATCAATTTTATATTTTCAGAAATATGACATCTAAAATATATTTTAATGAGTGTCCAATGGATATCCGCTAAACAAATCCTTATTTTAATTAATTATCCATAAATATATTGCCATAAATTTGGTCCCAAGTACAGTCTTTTATATCTTGAATCCTAATAATGTTTGTTCTTGCAAGAAATAACCAGAAAGAGGATTATATTGTTTCGGGCAACAACTCCTACATCTGAATTTAGTTGACCCAAAAAATCTGAAAGTTCATGGTTTTTCTATAAGTTGATTGTGGTCATCTGAACGAGTTGCGTCCTTGTTTCAGACTATTTGTGGAGATACTACGGCTTTTGAAAATTTTAATGATTTTTTCAACAAGTGTTCAATGAATATAGATACCTAAATCACACCTAAGTTGTCATATAAATATGCATATTCACATTTATTACACGCCTTGTATTACGATAATTTTTAAATTAATTATATTTTTTTCAAAAAAATAATAGTTGAGTCCCTCTTAACGAGTGCCCATTAAGCATCCGTTAATTAAGCCAAATTTCAATCTCTATATCACCTCCAAATTAGCGTATTAGACATTAATGAAGAATGAAAGTTGGAGAGAGTTAATGTGGTAAATTAGTTTGCTTAAAAGATACTAAACTTTGCTAATAACTGGTTGAGATTGTCCTAGAAAGTCATGGAATTTGCTAATGGCTGCTGTTAACAAAAGAGGAGTAAGGTTTACAAATAAATAGATAACTCCTGCTAAATATTAGCAAGATTTTGTTAAAACAAACATAGCCTTCCCCCTTTTTTTTTTTTTGCTAAAACGATAATAACTTTTTTGGTGTACGCTAATAATCCTTTGTTAGCTGCTTATCTTTGTTCCTCGATTCTTAACAATCCTATTTACCCTTTCCACTTCGACTTTCCCATTCTTTTGGGTGAAAAATAAAAAATTAAACCTTTGATTCCTTTGAAGTCTAACTTGGCCTCCATTTGACTGAAGAAGAAGTCATGACTTTACTCTTGGGACCCGACTCTTTTTTTTGACTTCCTGAAACCTTACCTACCAACACAAGCAAAACTTTAACAATAGATAAAAAGGAGAAAAAAAAGAAGTTTTCAGTGATAATTGGATAATATTTTTTATTGTTAATTCCACTTTGCACCCTTTAACTATATCAAAAGTTTTACTTTGGTTCTTAAATTTTAAAATGAGACACTTTAATCCCTAAACTATAATTTTGTCCCATTTAATTAAGATTGTTGAGGAGGTGGAATAGATTTTTTTTATTTAAGTGAATATACTTTTGGGACTATAATAGAAATAATTTTATAATTTAAGGACTAAAGCGGAATAATTGACATTAACCCTAATTTTTAACAAGAAGAAAAAGTGACTCTCAAAGTGACAATAGGGAAATATCCTAGGTAAGCGTAACTCCTCTTAACGAGTGTTCTATCTTTTTTTTTTTTTTTTTATTTGGTTTGTTCTCAACCTTGTCAATTGGCAACTTCTACATTAATTCTACTCCTATTTTAACTTATCTAAAGGAGGGCCTAACTGGGTTAGGAGGATTAGAGAAAAATATTCCCCGCCTCTAGATCAAAATAGTGTAATCGATAAGTAGACTATTACACAATCTTTGCATTTAATAGAAGTCACATATTAGTGACAATTGATAGGAAGAGCAAGATTCGAACATTTGAAACCTTTGTGGTGACCGACAGCCCAAGAGACCATTGGTTTGTTTTTCAAATAAGCACACAAATTTGTTGTATTATGTCCGGTAAATGTGGAAAAGTGCTCGTCAACTGCCATTCATTGGCGGGTAAGGTGATGATGGCGCTACAGCAGCAAAATCCTACATCGAAAATTCTTCCTCTTCTTCCTTTTTCTAATCCTTTTTCGGCTAACTCTGAGGCCACTATTGCATTTTGATTTATCATCATTATAATTTTTTCATGGTGACAGCCAACTATAAATTCCTCGAGTAATTGAAAGGAGGCTCCTATTACCTACTCTCTTCTTCCACTCATCTATGATATCCTCTCACAGCTCCTAATAAATTTCCTTATGAAATTCATGTGCATTTCGAAATCTTGCGATTCTTCAATCTCAAGCACAGAATTCATCAAAATCTATCCTAAAACATCGTCTCAAACCAGCGTCGACACCGCTCACCATAAGCTAATCTTCTCTGGTTTTCCTCCCTTATTGTTTGATCACCTCACAGGATGTAATCTTAACTTTGCATTGAATGCACTTGTAACTGAGACAACCAACGTGATACTATATCTCGTCTATGCATTATTGGTGATTGAGGCCAATATTCGATACCTAGAGGGCATAAGGTGACAATTTTGGGTTCATGTAATTGGCTGGTTTGCATTTCTAGCCAGAAGCGATGTAACTGGTTGGATTGCATTGGAAACCCCACGATTAGAAAAGGGAGGAAACTGCCTAATTGGGGTTTTCAGTTTCAGATTTCTGGTCTACAAAATTATAGGTTTGGATGTGTTGAGTGCATGATTATTACAAAGTTGTCACCCTCTTATGACACCATTGATATGTCATGTGTCACAAATTGATCCAAACCCAAGAATTATTTTAACTAATGCAAATCAATTTCGTAAATTTCTTTCGGTACTTCCTTTGGTGTCATTAAGTTTGAATTAGTTAGTCTTGCTTTTTACTTTCTTTGATTCCAGCTACGTCCTACTCTTATATACGTAGCAGTACTATATATTTCTACGTCTTTTTTTTCCTACCGAAAATAAAAAAAGAAATTTAAGCTTTCTGCATCTTAAAAGTGTTGTGAATCTCCCTTTGATCTTGTGCCACTTCTTTCCGTTTTGTTCTTGAGGCCAAGTATTGTTGCTTGGTTTTTCTCTTGTTCTTCGAGGGCTCTAGATATTCATCACTTATGCCAATTTCTATCTCACGCTTTATTTTCTGGCAAGGTGTCAATACACTGCTGGGGATACTGACACTCGTCTGAGCAAAAGATCGGTACAAGAAGTGGGACAGAAAGACCATATAATTTTTTGGGTTTCAGCAGCCAACTTTAAATCAGCCAAGAATGGAAACCAAGGCTGTCAGTGATAAACTCCCAGTTGAACTGATCTTTGAAATCCTCACAAGACTCCCAATCAAATCCCTTGTGAGGTTCATGTGCGTCTCGAAATATTGGCATTCGCTAATCTCAAGCCCGGAATTCATCAAATCGCATCTTCAAAAGTCATCCGAAACAAATGATACTGCTCACCAGCGGCTAATTTTCTCTACTTCCATGTACATAGTATTCAATCCTGAACTCAAAGAATGTGATCTTAACTCTGCATTATATTCACCCTTGACTGAGGCAACCAACATGGAATATCCCACCTATGAATCCATCCCTCATCCAACCAACTGCTGCCCCAGTCCAACCGACTCTGAGGATTTCCAGCAAAATTTTGAAATGTACGAGGCAAAAGCAGTTAAGGTGTTGGGTTCGTGTAATGGATTGGTTTGCATTGCTACCCCAGAGCGAGATTTATTTTTGTGGAACCCATCGATTGGAAAATACAAGAAACTACCTGATTCTGGTCTTGAATTTGAGTATTCGGATTCCAAGAGTGTCTACAATTGTGTTCCTGCATATGGATTCGGGTATGATGAGGTGCATGATGATTACAAAGTTGTTGCAATTTTAGGTCGCTGCTTGGCTCTGGATCCGGATGCGGAAGTGGTTAAAGTTTATAGTCAAAGGACTAATTCTTGGAAGAGAATTGAGGATTCCAAAAAATGTCTTCCCCTAAAAGATTGGTGCGTTAATAATATTATCGGTGGCACATTGTTAAATGGGAAGCTTCATTGGACTGCAACCTTTGGCAGTCATTACCACCGTTCCGAAAAGAAAATCATTAGTTTTGATTTGGCTTCTGAGACATTTGGGGAGATAGAACTTCCAGAAAATATGGGGCAGCCAATATATCCAGAGGATCCTTTCTATAGATGGACTATAGGAGGTTTAAAAGGAGGGTGTCTTGCTCTGCTTTGTGATCATAATCAGGAAAAGACTGATTTGGATGTTTGGATTATGATGGAGTATGGAGTTAGACAATCTTGGAGTAAAGTAGTTTCGGTTCGCTATGCTGAATATCGTGAATATATGTGTAAATTCGACATCCTTGTTCAACCTGTGCTCTCATCGAAAAAGGGTGAAATCTTGCTGAAGCTTGGATCCAAGCTGGTGCTTTACAGTCCACAAGATAATTCCTGGAGGGAACTTCACATTAGTAACATGCCAGATGAGTCAGGTTTTCTTAAGGTGGATATCTATGACGAAAGTTTGGTTTTGCTTGATGCCAATGATGGATAAAACTAAAAGATCTGATTATCTTATGTCGCCTTACTTTTGAGTACTCAATGCAGGGCAAAATGGTTTAAAACTGAGTTCATGAATTTGTGTAGTTTGCAACATGATTTTGTATTGGTGGAGTGGATGGTATTCACACGTGGTTTGTAGTTTGGTCCTGTGCTCTCTCCCAAAGTATTTGTTCTGGTGCAACACGTAATGCAAAGTAGTGTTTGCACCATACGAAATATGTGTTTCTATTTATTAAACAATGTAAAATTTTTGGTCTTATAAGGCTTTAATTTTTTTGATGTCCATCAAGAATTTCCATGTTATTTAGCAAAATCTTTTCCATTTTACACACATGCACACACTTCAATTAATATATATATGTGTGTATATATGTCTGTACGTATAAATTAACTATAAGATTCATGGTTCTACTCTCAAAGCTTCCATTTTCTTTTTGCTATCTATTTGTACGTATATATGGAGTCGGAATCTCCCTTTGAAAAAAAAAAAGATCACATGTACCAATGCTTCCTTTTGAGTCTTAATTCTATATATGTTGATTATGTTATTCGTTTTAATTTTTTTTTTAGTAGGAGGGGAGTGAAATTTAAGAAACAAGAAGATGAAAGAAGATTTAAATTCAAAATCTCTAAATCCTAGAATGTCAATTTTAACTATTAGATCAAGACTTTCTCGACTATGTTCGTTATAATGTTATCCTATAACGATTGTTATTGTTTCCATCATTCATTCTGAAACAATTAGAGACTGAATAATCACAATTTGTTAAAAGAAAATTGTGCAGCTGGAAACATGAATTTTTGAGTACCAAATAATCGATAATTAAATAGCTTGATGTAAAAATAATATTCTCTCCATACCATAGTCAATTTTATATTTCCATTTTTTGAATGTCTAAAATGAGAGACAATTTCTAAAAGTTGGCACCACATTGAATTAGCTTTTCCATTTTGTCATTTGATCAAAAAGTAACTTTTCCCACCTGCCTCATATATAATTTCAAAGTTTGAATCTAAGATCTTGTTCTCAATTGATTTTCAACACCTGATTTTAGATTCTAGAAAAGAGCCTGTTTTGTTGTGTTTTCAATTGCTTTTCAAATCCTCAATAAATTTTTTTGAGTAAAAAAAAAAGGCTGAAAATTAATAAGAAAACCTGTCTTGATTTTTTTTTTTAGTTTTGATTTTCTAAAATTAGCTTTTTACAAATTCAGACGCCATTGGAAACAAGACCTATGTACAACATTGTAAATTCATCCAAACCTATCTCAAGTCTCAAATTGTGGGATATTAAGAGTTCTTGATTGCTGGCGTTTGGCATTACTTCATAAAAAGGCATAACTCAACTTTTATGACATTTGTATCCTCGACTCTCTAGTAACTAAATTAGTACTATCTATCTAATTCACTCAGGATACAAGCTGAAGGCGGTGGCAAGCAATTAAGCCTTTATGGCCTATGTTTTCTGGGTACCAGAAAAAAAAAAAAAGCTTAAAGTCCAAGTTGCAATTGTTCTTCATGTTTCCTTTGGTTGCCGCAAATTCCTGTGTAAGTAGTAGCCCAATGAATCACAAAGTTTTGTGCATCTGTTGATTGGTTTCTTTTTTGGGTGTCAGCAGCCAACCCCAAATCATGCAAATAATGGAAGGCCAGGCTTACCAACAAGGCACCCAATGATCAACTCCCTTCTGAACTTTATTTACGATATAATCTCATGGCTCCCAGTCAAATCCCTTGTTAGATTCACATGCGTTTCCAAATCTTGGCATTCATTATTCTCAAGCTCACAATTCATCAAAGCCCATCTCAAAGCATCATTTCCTCCCCACAAGCTAATTTTCTCTACTTTCATGTATATAGTACCCAATCCTGAACTCGAAGGATGTGATCTTAACTCAGCATTATGCATGCGCACCCATCACTGAGGCAACAAATGTGAATTATTCCACCTACGATTCAATACCTCGACCAATCGATTCTGAAGATTTGAAGAAGCATATCCATGAGCAGTTAACGTATTGGGTTTGCATTGCTACCCAGAAGTGACACTTATTTTTGTGGAACCCATCCAACAAGAAATACAAGAGACTGCTTGATTCTGGTCTTGAATTCCAATACACGGATTCTACTGCTGTACATAGCTGTCTTCTTACATACGGGTTTGGGCATGATGAATTGCACGATGATTACAAAGTTGTTGCTAACTTAGTTCTATGCTTGGTTCTTGATCCAGGTGAGCAAGTGGTTAAAGTTTTTACTCAAAAGACTAATTCCTGGGAGAGGAATCAGGGTGCCAAACATAGTCTTGTTCTACAAGATTGGCGTGTAAATACTAAAACTGGTGGTACATTTTCAAATGACAAGCTTCATTGGACCCCGAATTCAGGCAGTTATTACCACCGTTGTGAAAAGGAAATTGTTAGTTTGGATTTGGGTTTGGCTAACGAGAGCTTTGCGAAGGTTGAACTCACAGAAAATATGGGACAGCCGAAATATCCAAGGTATCATTTCTATAGATGGACTGTTGGAGGTTTCAGAGAAAGGTGTCTTGCCTGTTTTGTGGTCATAATCAGGATAAGCCAAAGTCGAGAATTGTAACATAAAATAAGGATGGCAACAAAGAAAAGTATGGTACAGGAGAAACTAAAACTTTTAATCTATCACATATTCAAAACTGCAAACTTGCGGACGGTTTTCCTAAATTTTCCTCAATCCACCTCCAAGCCCTTAAACAGAAATACAACCTATTCCAATATTAACATCTAAACCCAATTCAACTTTGATACTAATTCTAATTCTAGTTACCAAGTAACAAATCAATTTCTAAAACCACTAAAATTCTAAATAGCTTCATTTAAATAACAAATCAACTCCTAACACTACTAAAATTCTAAATACCCTCATATGAACTAATAAGTTACGTCAGTGGATAAAATGCAACCCAGGAAAAACTTTGAGGTGGGCTGATTATTTAACCTGTTGTCAAATGAGATTGGGAAACCAACAAATAGTGCTTTCTTAGTCCGACCGCCAACTGGGGAAATTGGCTTTATAGCTCATTTTTCTTAATCAAAATTTGATTTTAGCTCGTTTACAATCTATCTTCTTCTTCTTCTCCGTTTAGCCCCCCGTCGTTTCTTCCTTTACTAATCTTTTGAGACTTTTGTTTATTTAATTTATTTAATAGGTGTGGTGGCAGGTAACCCTAAAATAAATGCCTCAAATAATGGCTTCCAAGGTTCCCCATGGCCATCTCCCTCCTGAACTCATCTTTGATATCCTCTTACGGCTCCCAGTCAAGTCCCTTTTGAGATTCATGTGCGTTTCGAAATCTTGGAATTCTTTAATCTCAAGCCCTGAATTTATCAAAACCCATCTCAAGGAAACATCTAACGCCCGCAATACTGCTCACCGTAAGCTGATTTTCTCTAGTTTTTATGGTGTCCCTGTCCTTGATTTCGTCACAGAATGTAATCTTGACTGTGTGTTATATTCTCCCACAATCGAGGCAACCGACATAGTAACACATATTGTTGCATCATCCATGACTGAGGCTACAAAAATTCAACATCCCGCGAAAAAATCAATTGATATTGTGGGTTCATGTAACGGGTTGGTTTGCATTGCAATGGAACACATATTCAATCCGTTTGCTTCAGATTCTATCCGTGACCTATGTTTATTTTTATGGAACCCATCGATCAGGAAATACAGGAAACTGCCTCAATGCAGTTTTGGTTTTGATTTTGAGAAATCTGATGTTGCAGCATGTGGGTTCGGGTATGATGAGTTGCATGATGATTACAAATTTATCGCATTTTTGCGCGTCCACTCACCTGAGAAAATTGCTGAGGATCAAGTTGTTGAAATTTGTAGTCAAAGGACTAATTCCTGGAAGACGAAAGAGGTTTTCAAAAAATATAGCTTTCGGCCATTTCAAGGGGGATATGTTGTTGATGGGAAGCTCCACTGGAGCGGAACCTTTCATCACGAGGAGGAAGATGACTATCCTTCATACAAGATTGTTAGTTTTGATTTGGCTGACGAGACTTATGGGGAGATAGAACTTCCAGAAAATTATAAGGGAAAGTCGAATGCTTTGAGATGGAGTATAGGAGTTTTAGGGGAAGGACGCCTTGCTTTCTTTTGGCTTCATATTCCCGACCTAGATGTCTGGATTATGACTGACTATGGAGCTACACAATCTTGGACCAAAATGTGCTCCATTCGCTATCCTAAAGATCTTCAATGTCGGCTTGGATTCCACCTTAATGTCCACCTTGTGTTCTTATCAGAGAGGGGGGAGTTATTGCTGAAAGTTAAGTCCCTTTTACTACTTTATAATCTAGAAGATGGTGCATACAAGATTCTCAAAGTGAGATCTAAATTGCGGGGTATTCGTGGTCTTCTGAAGGTGGATGTGTACTATGAAAGTTTGGCTTTGCTTGATGCCCATGATGGATAAAATAGCTTATTGTTCCTTTACTTTGAGTGCCTAAATTAGGAATTTCCAGTGCATTGATTTTCGTAATATGCTAGATGATTTAGTATTAGTGAATGATTATAATTAACAATTAGTATTATTATAAGGTGTTACAAACTGAGTCTTGTCATGTGATTTTAGCAAAATTTTTAGATTTAATGCAAGCTACTTTTTGCTAGTGCAAAGGTTGCTAGTCATGTACAAATCACGTAAGTTCCTAGTACAGCATTATTTTTGTATGTCGATATCCTAAAAAAAAATTCTCAGAAAATAGAATTCTCATATACCGTTTGAGAAGGAATATCACACACAAGCTTCTTACATTTTTAAATAAAATTTTCATGCGATTCAAACACAAATGGGCTTGACGGGTTTTGAGTTAAACACGTACATAATGAAATTAATCATTACTAAATGGCCAAAATATATTACAATTCTGATTCACCAATCATAGAGCAACGGTACTTTCTTCTAGGATGGCCAACAGCAGTTACTTTATATTTATATATATAATCTTTTATTAAAACATTGATGTACGTGTAAGTTCAACACTCTTGTTTAACCCGCGTTCTCATAAAAAAAAAGGGGTTGAAATCTTGTTGAAGCTTGGGTCCTAGTTAGAGCTTTATAATCCACAAGATAATTAATGGAGGAAACTTGAAATTATTAATGAGACAGCTTTTCTTAAGGTCGACATAAATGATGAAAATTTAGTTTGTTTGATGCCCATGATGGATAAAATATGCGATTATCTTAAGTTTTACAAGTGTTTTTGAGTACACGCACTTAAGGCAAAATGGTTAAGAACTCAAGAGTATTGATTGTTGTAAATCTCAACATAATTTCGTATTGGCAGAATGAATGTTGTTGGAATATCTATAACAATTTTTATGTAGTTTTGTGTTATATATGTTCTCTGCCATGCTTTTGAGTGTTGTTCTAGACTGGATGCAAAGTTATATTTACATCATAATGTAATGCAAAATAAGTTTATGCATGATATGTAACAAAAGGTCATCTTTTTTTTTGAGTAAATAATAAAGGACGATTTTATTGATTAGTTTATCAATTATAAATAGGAATCGTAAGATACTTGGAATATGATATACGCACTCCGGCTAGGAAATTGTTTATTCTCAATACCATGCAAGTCGCTTTTGGTATTATAGATTATAGATAAAGGTTGAGTTCTATACACATAGAAACAAAAGGAAAAATTAAAAAAGAAAGAAGGTAAAAAAAGACTAGAATGTTGTGATAGGCAAAGAAGAAAAGAATAATTTTTCCTATTCGCTATCATTAAGTACTAAAAGTACTTTTAGGATATTTGATAACTAATTTTTCGTAATTTAAGAACTACAACTTTGGATAATTTGAACCACTTAATTCAAAAGTGCTTCTTTATAAATTATTATAATCCCAAATGAAGTCGTAGTATGGCTTGATTCATTGGTTTTTGCTCACACCAAATTAAAAATATGTAACAATAAATTTTGTAAGTTAACTATATATAACTCTTCCAAGGGTATAATATCAAAATTTTACAAAAAATCCTATTAAAGGGATTCTTATGCATAACATGTTTTCTCCTGTTTGTACATGCTACTTGAGTTAAAGGCTCTATTTAGTTTATTTTTTTTCTCATTAAGATTAGTTATGACATAAGTAGTTTATGAATAGTTTCCTTAGCCTTAGAATTTTTAAAAGGATTAATTTTCTATACACTGACAATATATACACTTTCACCATTATATGTATGACACATAATCCGAATTTAAATTTGAAACTCAAATTTTGCATATTTGTCTTATATCTAATCGTAATAATGTATATACCGTCAATGTATATAAGATTTATTCTTTTTAAAAATCATGCTTTAAACTTTAACCAAGTTGTGGATGTAAAAGAAGCCTTTTCTTGGCGAAACCTACGCATTCTTTGTCAATATAAGTGCGTTCAGTTGATAAGGATGAATCACTTCTTTAAAAAACGGTTTTTTTTCCCTTTTTTTGTGTAATATGAGAACGGTATTTGTGGCTGATTTGTAAGAATTCCTATAAGTTACCATAATTTGGGGTATGTCTTGACCCGTGGTGATGATCGGAATTAAATCCATTCAAACCCCTTTTTCTACCAAAAAAATTTTATTGGTTCTTTTGCTATTGAATTTATCGGCAATAGAAATAAAAACTGGTCTTTTGCCCAAAAAAAAAGGTATTAGTTACTTTATAGGAATAGGGTGAGATGCCATAAAAATGAGTTAAGCGGGATAAAACGTACCCTAGTGTAATTTGTTTCGTTGTTAAATTAGTTTAGGAAACAAATAGGGCTTTCTGGATCCAGTCTTGTTTCCAAATTTTCATCAGAATTCGGTTTTAGCTTCTTAATTTATTGGATCCTTGACGCTGTATCTTCTTCCCCAGTCTGCCACCCTCTGTTGTTACCTTTTCTAATATTTTGAGGCTTTTGTGTTATTATTGAAAGTATATTTTTTGTGGTTGCGGCCAACTTTAAGTTCCTCCAACAATGGAAAGCAACGCTCCCAAGGTTTTCTGTGATCAACTCCCTGTTGAACTCGTCTTTGATATCCTCCTACGGCTCCCAATCCAGTCCCTTTTGACACTCATGTGCGTGTCGAAAGCTTGGAAATCTTTAATCTCAAGCCCGGAATTCATCAAAAACCATCGCAAAACATCATCCAACGCCTACGATACTGCTCAGCAGAAGCTAATTTTCTCTGTTTCCTGTCCCCCAGTCTTTGATTGCCTCACAGAATGTAGTCTTTACTCTGTGATGTATTCACCAACGGCTGAGGCAACTAACATGATAACTGATCCAATCTTTGCATCATCCGTGACTCAAGCTACAAATATTCAACATTCAGCACAAAAATCAATTGAAATTGTGGGCTCGTGTAACGGGTTGGTTTGCATTGCTATCAGGGAGTTGACCCGGGGCTGGACTTTCCTCAATTCTACCAATGACATGTGTTTATTTTTGTGGAATCCATCGATCAGGAAATACAGGAGGCTACCCCATTGGGGATTTGACTTCGAGGAATATTCTGGTGTTGTAACATATGGGTTCGGGTATGATGGGTTGCATGACGATTACAAAGTTTTCACACTTTTATCTAATAACTTGCGAAAGAATATGAGAAGAAAAGCTGTTGGAATTTACAGTCAAAGGACAGCTTCTTGGAAGATGGATGAGGATTTCCAAAACATTTATCCCTAGACAATTGGTCTTTGCAAGATACTCGTGGCGGCCATTTTGTAAATGGGAAGCTTTATTGGGCTGCAATCTCTAACGGGTCTGGAGACGATCGTCTTGCAAATAAAATTGTTAGTTTTGATTTGGTTGATGAGACTTATGGAGATATTCAACTGCCAGAAAATCATATGGGGAAGGTGAGTTTTTGGGGATGGAATATAGGAGTTTTGAGGGAAGTGTGTCTTGGCCTGCTTTGGCTTCATGATGACTTGAAGCATCTGGAAGTGGATATCTGGATTTTGACTGAGTGTGGCATTAGACAATCTTGGACAAAAATGTTTTTGATTCGCTATCCTGAAGATCCTGGACGTGGATTTCGATTCGACATTCGTTTCCAACCTGTGTTCTTACTAAATGGGAGTGAATTATTGCTAAAGCTCGGATCGAGGTTAGTGCTTTATAATCCAGAAGATGGTTCATACAAGGATCTTGACATCAATTATAATTTGCCAGATGCAGAGGGTGATCTTAGGGTGGACATGTATGATGAAAGTTTAGTTTTGCTTGATGGCCATGATGGATAAAATAGCTTCTTGCCTTATGGGGGCTTTACTTTCAGTACCTAAGAATTCAAGGGGATTGATTTTTGTAATTTGCAAGAGGATTTGGTTTTAGTGAATAATTATCAGTCAGCGTTATCATAATGTTATCAATTAAGCTTTTTCATGTGCATTTGGCCAAAAGTTTTACGTTGTTTTCCATTTCATACAAGCTAGTGTTTGCATATGCAAGTCTAGGCAGCCAAGTATGAGTCATGTGATTTGTTACATTGATTCTAGTACAGCCTTAAGTTTTGTATGTAGATATCTCAAAACATTTCTGATACCATATATGTATATTTTGTATAGAGACATTTCATTCATATATGTAGCATAGAATTTGAACTCTCATGTTTTAACAAGAAGATTTATTGACAATTCAAACAATGAGAATTTCTTACGACAATAAAGGCTTTAATACAGCTCAGCTGGACTCTTCAGTAGACCTTCTAGACTCTCTAGGGAATTTCCAATTAATGGTCCATATATAATTTACTAGACAAGAATTACTATCACAAGAAATTAACTAATAAAACACCGGTAACTACATAACAGGTCGAGTTTAGGCTGGAATTGAAACTTTCGAATTCAGACCCCTTTTAACGTAGTAGACTTCGACCCGACTCATATATTTTACGGGTTTTGATCTTAGAGTCCCGGAACTGGGTCTGACGGGTATTGAAAAATTCAGCAAATGTTTCCATCACTAGATCCCAAATGGCTGGCTATAAAAACAGGTACAGGTGTAGCGTCTCTCCCCCTTCACCATAGAGCCATTATCTGCTTAAGAAATGGCGGTCTCTACAACACACATTCTTTTATTTATCTCCACGCTAACTTTAGCAGCCTCCTCATCAGCCGCATTTGAAAATAGCAGCACTATAACTGAGCACTCCTATGCCAATGTCCACATTAAGATGATGATGGAGAACAACACCGCACCGGTGTTTCTCGATTGTATGGTTGCTGGACAGAATATTTTCCAAGGCGAAGAATTGCATGGAGGAGATATGCTGAGTATCAAAATCACCCACAAGGGTGTTTATACTTGCGGCGCAGATTGGACTCGTTATGGAGCTGAATTTGAAGCCTTTTCCCCTGCAAAACATAAACATGGACTCCACTCCACTTTATTTTGGGTCATTTCTGAAGAAGGAGTCTTGATGAGTTGGAACAATATTGATTTCACCTTTGAAGCACATTGGCTACTTCGTCGCTAGATTTGGAGAGTTCTGTATGGCTTCTGAAGATGGAAGATTTCCTAGTAGTTTCAAAGGGTTTTTTCCTTTTTTTTTTAAAATTAACAAAACTGTAATAAGACTATGAGTTGCTGGAGAATCGCATATGCCTTCTGCAATCGCTATTCCACTGAGTTCAAGTACTATGTGGTTGTTGGGCATCGATTTAAAGATGTTTAAACAAAAAAAAAAAAAGACCTGTATAAAACATAGAACATGAAGAGACCTTTGTTATATCTGCAAGTGTTTTCCATCTTCCACCAAAACATTCGTGATTATTTATATCTATTGGGATATTAAACAATCGAGCCTAAAAGATAAAAGATAGATATATAAAATATTGATAGACTTAAAAAACAAAACAAAACCCTTTGAAAACCTCTCAAAGCTAGTTGAATTCTAAAGAAAGAAAAAAAATTCAAGGGATAATTTCAGAGATATCCCTTGAGGTTTCTGATTATTTCATTGGCCTCCTTTTAGGTTTTAAAAATTACATTAACTTCTTTTGAGATTTATTATCATGTAATATTTAGATCCAACCAACAATTAAAAAGTGACACGAAGAAAGAGAAAATAATATGATTTTTTTCTTTTGTCACTTGTCTTTTTTTTTTTGTCTACACAGGAGTGTTCGGGTCAATCCTTATGAGGCCCGACTAATCCCCTGCGGCCCGAGCCCGACGCTCCAACCCGACCCGAACACGTTAAGTGCACGGAAGAATCTAGCGGAGCGGAGACTCGAACTTGTTTGTCACTTGTCTTCATTTACTATTTAATATCAGCCAGTGAGTTACATCCAAAAAGAAAACTTGCAGGCGCATCTAGCATGGGCTTACAACCGTGATGGGCCGAACTCTTGGCATAACGGCAAGCCAAGAAGGCAACTAGTCATGGGCTATCTCTACAGGCCCAAGTCTCGAACATGCTACGTCATACACAGGGAATAGTTCCAACAGCACAAAGAAAAAAAAAATAGATTTAATTCAGGAAAACGGTTTCTTTTATATTTCTGCGTTTTGATTACGAATTTAGCTAAGTACTTTTGGCCACATTTTCTGCAGAAAATCTGTAGTTGTAGAAATTTAAAATCCTACTATATATATATATATATATCCGTCTCTCTGTCTATATGTATGTATGTTTAAATCTAAAATTAGGTATTAGATCATTAGTCAAGTAATATGTCTCGACCAATAATGACTTTATGCTTAAGGGTTTTAGCCAATTTGGTCTCTTATTTATCAAATTTATTGATTGAAACCCTTATTTCTATAAATTAAAGTCAATCAAAGACCTCTAATGAAAACATTAAAAAAAATTAAAGCAACTAGTCACTTGCAAGGCATGTGGACCTTTGAAAATTACCATTTTTGATCCCTTATTTTCAAGCCAATCCAATTTTGTCATTTATATATCACCGCCTACTAATTTAAAGTCCTCATTTTCATAAAATAAAACCGAGCTCAAACTTTTAATTAGAAATTTGCCCACTTATTCATAGATTTTCATCTCATGCTAGTAAACAAATATTGTGGATATTTTAATTGTGGAGATAGAAAAGCAAACAATTTTTGTCTATCTCATTATCTTTACAATTTAAACATCCATAATTTCGGCATTACTGGCATTTGATGTAAGCTATGGATTAGAGGTTCTATGCAGGGATTTTAAAGAAAAAATTGGAGAGAGAAAATGGCAAAATTACGATAGTGACTTGTATGATTTTTCATGTTCTGACCTTTTTATATCAAAGGCACAAATACCTATTATACTGGTATGAACCATGTTATAAGACCAATTCCTTTAAGGGTCTCTAATTCTCCATAAAAAGTCCCCCAGACTTTATTTTATAGGAATGGGAGTTTAAATTGATAGGTGAAGGCATATAAGGGATCAAATTTGATTTGACTCCAAGATGACGGACTAACTTTGTCATTTTAAAAGGTCCACATGCCCTATGTAATCAATTCCATTAGAATTTTCTAATTTTTCATTACAAGTCCTACATTAGTTTTATTTCATAATGACAAGGAACTAAATTGGAGAGATTAATAACTAAGAGACCAAATTAGCTGAGACTCCAAAGATAAGGGACTTATATGATCATTTTTCCTTAATCCTTATTTTCATTTTCTTGCCTTTCTTTATTACATATACTGCTGCAGACTTATGAGGTAAACCATTTACATATGCATAAAAAGAGTGAGGATATTAGCCAAAAAAAAAAAAAAGCATGCAGCTGACGATATTTACATATATGCATATCAAGCCCATGTTTGATCTGCAGACAACGTTAGTTTCTTCATGAAACATCTCGAGTTGTAGGTTTTTACCAAACCAAAGTTTCCAGCAGCTGTGCTAGCAGTTTTAATTGAGTGCCATGGCCATCATGATCCTCTACACCTTTCCCACCACCACCATTCAAATAAACTGAAGGACCTTGCCCTGATCAAATTGTTACTGCATGCTGTGGTATTGAACTCGCACTTTCCCTTCCAATGAGCAGGTGGCGGAGGCATTCCTTCGTCACCAAATGACAGGTGATCCGGTGTTATATATCCTGGTGTGCATGACTCCAACAATGACACAGCCTTACCATAGTTCGATTCATTCCAGAATCCTATGCCACGATGCAACTCCAAAAAACTAGGAGAATGCATGGTATGCAGAGACAGAACCTTCCCTTCTGGGGATTAGCGGATAGAAAGCCTGCAGGCTTCTGCTCCATTTTTTTGACATCCTGCTCTGATAGTTTGGCCGCAAAACCTTTGAAAACATGGTGATAAGGATATATTATTCGAGGTACGTGCTTCATTTGAGCTTTCAGTTGTTGTTGTTGGGAGGAAAGAATTGTACCAACTCTCAAGAACTTTCATTCGGCATTGAAGAACTTTTGAGGTGGAAAAACTGAGTTTCTGATTCAGGCAACTCCACATGAACAATGTTAATTCCCTTCCGCCCAGTAAATAGAAAAAATTACTTACTGCTTGCCTTATCGCCTGACGGCCTACTCTATTGCACCTACACTTCTCTTAGCGAGACGGCTGGAAACCGAGTAAGAAGAGAATTCAAGAACTCCTACTAAGTAAACAAAGCTCTTGGTAGCAGAATTTGTTTCAAACTCCTAAATTTACAAACGAAGAAGCAAAATAAACTATTATTTTAAATTCTTGCATTTCTGGACAGATTGTCCTCGTTTGGAATTTGTTTAAGAATGTACTTACTGCTCCATCAATGTTATCTTGGAACCTTTTTTTTTTCACCTGTCCTTGCATTTTATGCAACGTCATCGGTCCTCCACCATGTTTAGTAGTTACCAAGAATAGTTTGGATTAATTGGCTTGGAAGAAATTTCTTCTTTGTTTTTTTGGAGCTTTAATTAAGAGATGAAGATTCAAATTTCTTGATTTCGTCAATATATATATATATATATATATATATATATATATATTATATATAACATGTTTGAGACCAAGGTGACAATGTCAATTCATTTGAGGCAATTAAGAGTAATTGGATCAAATAGAACCAATAAATTTGATTCGTGATACACATATACAAGGGAAACCAAAAATACTTGAGTCCATAATTACTCTTTCTCTGGGAGGAATGAAATAGTATGGCAATGACATTGCTGTTTACTTGCTTTAACACAAACCACTCCTCTTTTTTTATCTCCAAGTTTGGAATTTAGAGCAAAAGCTGCAAATGTTAGTTTTCTCTGTACCTGCAGAAGACTCAAAGACA